TTTCTGTCACCTGTGTTGTCTCCGTCCCTTCCCCTGTTTTATCCCTGTACCAGAAAAGGACACATTTAGTGCCTCCCTCCCAGCTCCACTAAGCGGGTTAGATATCTCATTAGCCGAGTTGGGATTCTTCTCTGGAGCCCCCATGTAGCTGGGAAGTGGGACCTGGGGGTGGTTGGACCCCTGGGATCCTAAAGAAGATAGGGAGGGTGCGGAACTCCGCTTCTGCTCCTGCTACCAGGACGCGGCCTCCTCAGCTCTCTTCTCCCGCTGCCATGCACTCTGCGGCCTTCCCGCTTCCCGTGGTTGTGGCCACTGTCCTGTGGGGAGCGGCCCCCATTCGGGGGCTCATTCGAGCGGTGAGTCTGAGGGGCGGATGGAGAGGGCGCTGAAGGGAGGGGCTGCAGGCTGAAGGGGAAAGTGTTTTCTTGTCCCCAGACCTCGGACCACAATGCCAGCATGGACTTTGCGGACCTCCCAGCTCTATTTGGGGCTACCCTGAGCCAGGAGGGACTCCAGGTGATTCTTCCCCTTCCCTTTTTTTTCTGTTTCGCAGAATCCTTCGTCCGGGGCAGGGGTTGGGGAGCCTTGTTTTGGATGAAGGTGGAAGTAGAAAGAGTCCAGTTAGGAACCAAGTTCACGAGCATGTCTAGTGTGGAAACCAGAATCTGGAGGGAGAAGTCAAAGTGTGTTTACCCACAGAACTCCACGCATATCAGGGAGACTGAAAATGCCTTAAGATAAAAAGCAGAACCAAGTATTGCTTATCAGTAGGGTCTCAGGAGTCAGTTATTGGTAAGATGACCTTGAGCAAGTTAATTTTCTCCGAGCCTTAATTTGTTTTTCTGTAAAGTGGGACAATAGAAGTTAGCTTAGGATTATTGTGAGGATTAAATTATATGAGCAACTTTAGTCCTTCATCACAATGACTGCCACTTAGCAAAAACTGAGTTGAGTCATAGAATTGTTTGTGAGATGGGTAATTGGAAAACTGAAGTGAAAGGAGTGTGCTCTGTGTGAGTGTGTACTGGAGAGAGGAGGGCGAAACAACTTAAGAGAAAGGGACAAAGATGGGTAGAGAATTGAATTACAATCAGTAGGAACTGGAAAGCAAAAGAATTGAATTAGCTTGACGTTTAGGGTACATGTTAGCCCATCTGGGACAGGGAGGAGGTTGATGGGAGAGTCTGGAGAAGGGATATTTGGGTTTTTTTGTTTTGCTTTTAATTGTTTCAGATTAATTGAGGGTACAAAGAATTAGGTTACAATGTTTGCATTTATTTATTTGGCTGAGGCTTGGTTTGAACCCACCACCTCTGGCATATGGGGCCCAGCCCTACTCCTTTGAGCCACAGGTGCAGCCCAGTGTTTGCATTCAAGTAAAGTCCCTCTTACAATGATTGTCCTGCCTCCAAGAGGTGTGCCATACTCCCTACAATTGTGCCCATTAAGTGGGAGCACACTAATCCCCTTCTTCCTTCTCTCTCCCTCGTTCCTCAAGACCCCACCTTGTGTTAATTTGAGTTTTTTTCTCATGTGGGTATGTAGATCTTGTACTGGCTTCATATTAGAATTGAAGAATTACATTGTATTCTTGCTTTGGAGAAAGGGATATTTGATGTAGTTGCATTTTCAGAAGACTGAGAGATGTGGACTTCTTAACTTGGGTGGGATGCTTAGACCCCAGAAATGAGAAGGAAAGGAGGATAGAAAATATGCAACATGTAGGGGCCAGCTTGCTTGGTTGGCCTTGTGAAGAGTAGAACCTAGGGAAGAGAAATCTAACAGTGTGCTTCTCTTCCCTAGGGGTTCCTTGTGGAGGCTCACCCAGACAATGCCTGCAGCCCCATTGCCCCACCACCCCCAGCCCCGGTCAATGGGTCAGTCTTTATTGCACTGCTTCGAAGATTCGACTGCAACTTTGACCTCAAGGTTGCTGAATGTAGGGTTGGGAGCTGGGAAGCTGAGGGTGAAAAAGGTGCCACAGTAATGAAAAGAGACAAAGCCCACGATAACTCCTTATTCTCTACCTTGCCTCCCTAGGTCCTAAACGCCCAGAAGGCTGGGTATGGTGCAGCTATAGTACACAATGTGAATTCCAATGAACTTCTGAACATGGTGTGGAATAGTGGTAAGGGTGGAGGATCTTAACAGCTGGGTTTTCAGTGGAGCTTAGACTGAGAGATGGTGGGAAAGATAAATACATAGGGAGAAGAAGCCAGTCTTTTGGGTGGGATGAGGCAAAAGTGCTAAATGTCTGGGTTCCCAAAGCATTTGAGAGGAATGTTGAGTCCCTGGAATAATCCCTGATCTCTGCAGAGGAAATCCAGCAGCAGATCTGGATCCCGTCTGTGTTTATTGGGGAGAGGAGCTCTGAGTACCTGCGTGCCCTCTTCGTCTATGAGAAAGGGTAGGACATGTCCCTCCTTCCTCATTCATCCTTCAGCAGTTCCATGCCAACCTGGAGCTCAAGCCTCACTGCCCCAACCATTCAGCCTAAAGTCCTTCCTTCCCTGACTGTTGACTTTTTTCCCCACTCCCTTCCCCACCCCATGGGCCTTGTCCAGAGCCAGTTTTTTTGTTTTAGAGACAGAGTCTTACTTTGTTGCCCTCAGTGCCGTGGCATCACACAGCTCATAGCAACCTCCTCCTGGACTTAGGTGATTCACTTGCCTCAGCCTCCTGAGTAGCTGGGACTACAGGCGCTCGCCACAACACCCAGCTATTTTTTTGTTGCAGTTTGACCAGGGCCTCGGTATATGGGGCTGGTGCCCTACCCAGTAACCCACTGGCACCACCCCAGAGCCAGTTATTTCGACCCTCTTCTTTGTGCCTTTGCCATTCTTGTCCTTCTGAGATTAGCCTTCTTTTTCCCAGGGCTCAGGTACTTCTGGTTCCGGACAATAGCTTCCCATTGGGCTATTACCTCATCCCTTTCACAGGGATAGTGGGACTGCTGGTTTTGGCCATGGGAGCAGTGATGGTGAGTAGCTTAGGGAAGGGATAGTAGTAGCTCAGGAAGACCTGAGGCCTATAAGGCCATGTTGGATCTGGAGTTGGGAAATGGGGGTGGTTTGTCCTAGATTGTTCAGTTTTGCTCCCTAAGCTTTGTCTGTCACTCCCTCTTTCCCAGATAGTTCGTTGTATCCAGCACCGGAAACGGCTCCAGCGGAATCGACTTACCAAAGAACAACTGAAACAGATTCCTACACATGACTATCAGAAGGGTGAGGGGTTTGGGGAAAAGGCCAGGTTCTGAAGGATTTGAGCCCAGGAGATAAGGGGTAAAGAAAGCTGGCAGTGAGAAGGTATCCACCTAAAATGCCATCATCTCTGTGTACCCACAAATTAGAGGACAGAAGTAGAACATAGCAGGAGGTCAGAAACAAAGATGATTAAGTGAAATAGTTTGGGGAAATGGAGGGATAGAAGGTGGAAAGAGTAGAAAAATGGAAGGAGTGGGAGGGTTCATTGAGAAAAAGAAGAAACAGGTAAGGAGGGGGTGGGTCTTTAGTCCCTGGAGCCTACAGTGTCCATATAAGGTTATAGCAGAAGCCCTGCCTCCTACTTCCGCTCCTCCAGCTCCCTATCTCACCACCCTCAACACCTCCCCAAAAACCCACTTCCCTTCTTACCTCTGCTTCTCTTTGCTTATCCTTGCTAGTCCCAAAGAGGGGCTGCCCTGGCCTTACCATGCCTCCCTGTCTTGGCTCTTATATGGGTTTTGTAGACTTGGGGAAAGAATTTTTACGGGACTTTGCTCCACCACAGGCCTGCCAGAGTGAGTTCTCGTGGGCAGTGGTTCAGTGTGGCTCAGTGATAGGCTGACTAGATTTACCTTCTTTCTCTCAGGAGACCAGTATGATGTCTGTGCCATTTGCCTGGATGAGTATGAAGATGGGGACAAGCTACGGGTACTACCCTGTGCTCATGGTGAGGCCCTCACTGCCTGGAACCAGGCTCCTGTGACACTGGCAGGTACCAGGTGCTTTATTCATCTCATTCCTCTCTGTAGCCTATCACAGCCGCTGTGTGGACCCCTGGCTCACTCAGACCCGGAAGACCTGCCCTATCTGCAAGCAACCTGTTCATCGGAGTCCTGGGGATGAGGAACAGGAGGAAGAAATCCAAGGGCAAGAGGAGGGTGATGAGGAAGGGGAACCAAGGGACCACCCTGCCTCAGAACGGACCCCATTACTAGGCTCCAGCCCTACTCTTCCCACCTCTTTTGGTTCCCTGGCCCCAGCCCCCCTTGTTTTTCCTGGGCCCTCAACAGATCCCCCACCCTCTCCTTCCTCTTCCTCATCTCTTTCCTGTGCTGTCCTAGTCTAATACCTCCCTCCATACGCACACCTCTGGTGACCTTTTTGCACAGACCCTCTTCCTCCAGTCTTCTAAATTGAGGGATAGGGGACATTTTCATCCCAGCTTTCTCCCTTACCTGGCCCTAGTATTTTCAGGGGGCTTGAAGGAAGGGAGCAAAGGGACTGGTCTTTACTTCATGGATTAATAAAATTGGTTTTGTGGACTAAGGGTGGGTGAGATCATTCTCACACAGGTAAACCTATGCTTTGGGGAATCAATCCTATTTTGCTATAAAGGGCAAGAGGTGCCAGGAGAGACTTAACCTGTAGCCATGGGACAGCCCTAGCAGGCCAGGCCTTTGCTATGACTAAAAGGGGGAGCCCCACCCACATGATGACTCAGTTGGCCCTGCCTTGCCCACAGGCCTGGAACTATGGTCTGGGTGGCTCTATTCCATCATCCCAATTGGACTAACACACTTGAGGACCTAGGCCTGGAAATGCCACTGAGAGGCTAGGCCACCTGGCTACATAGGTCTGAGGCAACTGCTTAATCCTGGACATTGAAGTAAGAAGTTCAGATTCCTGCACTTTGTAGTGCCTCCACCCTCCTGCTCCCAACCCCAAGCCAGGATAAAGAAGACAAGTCCTAAGTGCATGTCTCCCAGTCTGACACCCAAGCTCAAATCACACAGCACCTTATTAGTAGAATCTTTTTTATTCAGAAAAAAAACCCCAAAAAACAAAAAAGTTTTCCAACCACACACAGGAGGGGTATGGGTAGGGGGAGGTGTCTGTCCATCCAGTCCTGGCCCCCAGCCCATGTGGTTTTGGCAGCGATAAGGGGTGTGGGGTAATGGCCCCAAAAATAAAAATGGTGTATGTGTGTATGGGAAGGAGAGGGGTGCAAAAGCTGTGGGGAATGGTGGGGGAAAGGGACAGATGAGGTCAGTACTGGGAACGCCGCAGGTGGGAGGCCATTTCATAACATTTCTTGTTGATCAAACCACCATGGACACCTTCTTTGCCCATCAGCAGGACTAGCGCTGGAGGAAAGAGAAAGGAGGCTAGGACCCAGGTGTCACAATTTCACCCCCTACCAGCTGTTCAGCAGCTGTCCAGCCCTAGGGGCTGTAACCCAACCTCATCCCTCCCAACCCCCCCCCCCACATACATACACAGGCAGGCTGTCAGTCACCCTGAAACAATAAGGCTTTTCAAAAGGGGAAAATCAAGCTTAAAAGGCCGGAGAGGAACAGACTAAAATTTAGGGGTCAAAGGCTCATAGACTGCTGACTCATGTGTTCAGGCTAGAAATGGCTGTGGAAAAGCCTGCCACCTCCAAGTTAACAAAAGAGCTCAAAAGATGAGAGCTAAATGCTGACTCAGGACCCTAACAATACCAACTCCAAGAATAGTCTCTAATTTGAAAAGGTTCAAGGTAGAAAGGAACTTAGGACATGATGCAGTTCAGTACTTCATATCACAACGTGTGGAACTGAGAATAGGAGGGACTATCCAATGTCTCAGCACCCAGTGAACTAGAAGTAGAATGCTGGTCTGACTGCCTTCACGCTGAGGAACCACACAGAAAAAGAACCCAAATAACAAAAGGAGGCACATTAGGTCTGTCAGAGCTAGAGAAAGGGCAAGACTCAGAAACTCACTCTTGGCAGTCATGGTGACAGTGACATTGAAAGTGGGAGCTCCACCGGTGCTCTTGGTACGAAGATCCATGGTAAATTCCCCATCCTGCAGCAGCGAGTCTCGGATCACAGAACATTTCTGGCCCCCAAGTGTCAGCCCATTCACAAAAAAACTTGACCGGTCTTTGCCAACAAGAACACCAACCTCAGCTGGCTGAAAAAAGAACCAAGCACCCAACAAGTTAGTACACCAATATCCCCACCTTGTTCTGAGGACCCACTTGCCTTCCACTCTGGGAGCTCGAACCCGGGTGGGAAGAGATTTATTGCTACATGCTCTGTACACATCAATGAAATTTGAGAAACTTTCAGTACCTTTGGAAGTTAGAGCAGAAAAAGATCCCGATTCTCAAGACTAGAAAATGGGACCAAGGTGGAAGGGATGAAATATTCCCCTACAGACGTAGATCTCAGAGTTTAACCCAGAAAATAAAAGACAGCAAAGTGGGGAATCTTTGGATGCTCAGAACTCTCCTTCAGGAAAAGCAGAAGCGGAGAGGGGAAGGGAGGGGGCGGGCAAAGCAGGAGAGGCAACTTTGCCCTTATTTGGTCAAAGGTTCTGCAGGAGTTGTGAGGGGCCCGGACGCCTGGGTCTCCAAGTAACCTAGAGTTTAGGTTCAGGTGTCTACGCCCGGAGATGAGGAAGCAGACCCCTGGAAGCTTTCCGGGAAAGTTGGAAAACTTTTGAAGGGGGGCAGGAACTAGACCCTGCAAGCCAGCTCTCGGGTCTAGATACCTCAGGGAACATTTCTCCCCCTCCCCCTTACACCCCAAACCCCCACATCCGGTCCCTCCCGCCCGGAAACCCCCTTTTCCCCCTTTTGAACTTCCGCTCCTCCTCCCCACTTCCGGGCAGTGTGAACAGGGGAGGTGGTTGGGGGAACAGCGGTAGTCATCCCTTATTCCTTCATTCCTTATACTATCTTAGAACTTCTCACAAAGTTCCCCTGCTTCAGGCCCCGCCGGATGGCGGGAAGAGAGGGTGAGGGGACTTCCGGGATTGGCCTCACAGGAATGTTGAGTCCAACGTGCCGCGTGTGTGTGGGGGTGTGTGTGTGGCGGCCTCGCCCGCTCTAACGGAGCTGGGAGGGGCAGGGAGCCCACAGAGGACGGGCAGGGAACCGAAGCCACGCGCTTTGGGGTTCCCTCCTGCATAAGGGGGAACAATGGTGGAGGGGGCGCGAGCGGACGGCCTGAAAGAGAGCTAGTGGCCGGAGGGTCCCCAAGACCCTTCTCGATCACAATTCATGGGTAAAATTGCAGCGCGTGCCCGCCCCGCCCTGGGGGAGGCGGAAGTGGGCCGCCGCACCGGGCGACGCGCCCCTCCCCGCCCTGTGCCCCGGATGTAACGCCCCATCGCGGGAAGCGGGGTGGCGGGCGCCGCCGCCTGGGGCGTAGGACTTAGGGGGCAACGAAGGGACCCGCTCACGTGTAGCCGCCATTCGCGCCGCTTCCAGGGCAAGGACCTGGTCAGGGCCCTTCGCTGCCTTCCCTAGACCGTGCCCGCCCCCACCCAAGTCCCTCCCAAAGGGTCCAAGCCCGACCAATGCCTCGGACCGCGCAGGCCTCGCAGTACCGTGATGTTGACGAAGGTTTTTCCAGGGACGGCGGCCCAGACGGAGGGCGAGTCCTTGTAGCCCACGATGGCTGCGTCCTGACAGGTCCCGTCCGCCATGAGGTTGTCGATGTAGGCGTTCCACCCGGCCATGGCGCTGCTACTGGGGCTGCTCTCGGCGCTGCTGCTGGGGCCGTGGGCTGGGCTCGGGCTGCCTCGGGCTGGCGGGCGGGGGGAGGCGGAGAGCTCGGGGCACGCGCTGCCGTCCGGACCGCGGTTCTGCTAGCTGTGCAGCAGCCCTCGCACCGCCACTTCCTGCTCCTCCCCCCCCCCAGATTTTTATTTGCAAAGGGCGGTAGGGGCGGGGCCTGCTCCCCCATTCCCTCCCTCCCCGCGACCGCCAGCCCAGACACCGAACTTCGCAAATGCAATTTTAAAAATCCCTCCCCCTAAAAAAAAAAAAAAAAAAAAAGTCTTCCCCCATAGCAAAATTTGCAGAGTTCGATGGAAAGCCATGTAAATGATGGAGGGGGGGTGGCGGAAGAGACGCTAAGGTTAGGGCTCGCTCCCGTTCTCATTGACTATAAACCAGACTTTGGTATAGGGGAAGGGAGTGAGCCAGAGGAAGGAAGAGAAAGGAGAAGAATTAGCAAGCTGCATATTAAAGAGAGTTTGGGGAACCCAGAGTTAAACGGAACGACTCCTCCTTTTCCCCCACCTATGCCGGAGTGAGGGACCGGCGGCGCGTGCGCCGGCGCGTGCGCCAGGGCCGGGAGGGAGAGCGCGTGGGGCGGTTGGGGCCGACGGTAGACTGCACGGGCGCGCGTCCGGCCGGGTCCTCTCGGACCCTCCTGGGCAGGAAGGCAAATCCTAGGACGCGTCTCCCGCATGACAGAAGGGGCGGGGAGGGTGAGGTAGTGTGCTTGCTGCCTCCCCACCTTTAATTTTACTTATTCAAGTAATAAGAAAGCCGAAGGAAATTTGACAGATTATACCGCCGTCATTCTCAGAGCTGAAGGAACCCACTGGGGCTCTTCTGTCCCTAGCGTCACACAGGTTGGGTTCCTTCGGACCCATCCCCACTCTAGGAGATTATGCTTATTCTGGATCTGGTTCGGTCCAGGGCGTCCCTCCACGTCCCAGCCCCGCCTGTCCCCGAGCCAGCAGTTTGGGTCACCGGCCGTGCCCCCCGGCTGGTCTCTGCGGAGGTCACTGAGCTCCGGCTCCCTCGGGGCGAAATGGGCGGGG